AACTAGAACTTGTCTGTCCTGTTCAGACCCTCCGTGGCTTCCTGAAGAGAGTTCCTGGGCTAGTGTTGAGCCTTATGCAAGCCAGCCCTGATCTATCTGCCCATGTTTTTTTTCTCACTAAGTACCGTAATGATAAAGTTTGTATTTGTTTATACAAAATGTACTTACATTCCCTATTTCTTTGAATCTTCTTAGTAATCATTTTTCAAGATAAGAACACAGGACAGAGAGGTGGAAGGACCTGCCTAAAGTCACTGCACCGAGAGGAGACTGTAGCCGTGGTAGGCGGTACATTATCCTTTGGAATAGTTGCTGCCCCTCCCTAGGTCAGGTTACACTTTCCTGCCCTAATAACATGAGGGTTTGCCTTGGACTTGCTTTGGCCCCTGAAATGTGTGGGCATAAATGGCATGTGTCACTTCTGAGTCCACTGGTGATTTTCCAAGTCCCTTCTCTCTCCCAGAAGACTGGCAGTATCTCCGATAGGGGCTGCTCTGTCAGCCTGGATCCCGAGTCCTAGAGGGACGTGGAGGCAGAGCAGAGTTCGAACTGGCTCACCACGGACACGTCATGTGCATGAGAAATAAGCCATTACTGTGGTAGGCCACTGAGATCTTGGGGTCCCCTGTTCCTGCAGCACGGCTAAATCTGAGCTGACCACGTGGTGGTCAAATGTGGCTCAGTTCTAGACTTCCTGAGAGTGGACCTCTACCGCGTTTATCCCCTGCGTTCCCGACAAACAATTCTTGCTTATTCTCACCTCCATTCATTTCTTCATCCTGCATCTCCGCCCAGAACTCTGTTGAAGTCCTACCCATCTTCTGGGGTCCTGCTTGGAATTCATCTCTTCTGTGACGCTTTCCAAGTACTAGGCACTTAGCAGCATTTACTTACTGTGTGCTTAGCACTCTACTTGTTTTAATTCATCTCGTCTTCACCCCATGAAATACACATCTCTGTTAGAGTGTAGAGAGGTAAAATAGTCCAAGACACAGAATTGGTGTTTGGCAGAGCCAAGACCTGAAGCCCACACTCCTTCCACTTCATTACCCATTCTCCTTCTGTTCCCTGCTACATTTCTACAGATCTCTCCTCCTTAGCTATAAAAGTGCTCCCTTATCTGATTGACCACATTCTCTTTCATTCTTTTTTTTTTTAAATAGCATATAATATATTATTTGTTTCAGAGGTACAGGTCTGTAATTCATCAGTCTTACACAATTCACGGCACTCACCATAGCACATGCCCTTCTCAGTGTCCATCATCAAGCCACCCCATCCCTCCCAACCCACCCTCCCCTCCAGCAGCCCTCAGGTGGTTTGCTGAGATTAAGAGTCTCTTATGGTTTATCTCCCTCTCTAATTTCATCTTGTTTCATTTTTCCCTCCCTTCCCCTATGATCCTCTGTCTTGTTTCTCAAATTCATCATATCAGTGAGATCATATGATACTTGTCTTTCTCTAATTGACTTATTTTGCTTAATATAATACCCTCTAGTTCCATCTACATCATTGCAAATGGCAAGATTTCATTTTTTTTTTTTTTTTTTTTTGATGATTGACCACATTTTCTTGATCTGAGTTTAGGTATAAATTCTACCATTACTGGGGCACCGGGGTGGCTCAGTGGGTTAAAGCCCCTGCCTTCGGCTCAGGTCATGGTCTCAGGGTCCTGGGATCCAGCCTCTCATCGTGTTCTCTGCTCAGCGGAGAGCCTGCTTCACCCTCTCTTTCTGCCTGCCTCTCTGCCTACTTGTGATCTCTGTCTGTCAAATAAATAAATAAAATCTTTAAAACAAAAATTCTACCATTACTGGTGGTATGAGCTCGGGCTGGTCACTTAATTTCTCTGAGCCTCAGTTTCTTCTTTGTATCCCCCACAACACCTAGCAAGGTGCCCAGGAAATACTGATTGACTCAGCAAATGGATGAACTCTCTGAGCCCCAGTTTGCCCATTTGTAAAATGAGTGTAATAATGGAACCTCCTTCATGGGGGTGACTAGCACAGGGCAAGGCACATGGCAAGATGTATATGATACAATGTAGCTGTTATTATTATTAGCTGTAGGAAATGTAAATACAGTATATAATATACAGAGAAAAACTCTTACTTCTCAGGATGGGGATTGGGAAAACCTAGCTTCATGGCAGATGTGATTTGAGTGGTCATTGTAGGAGGCCTAATAGAATCTGGACATAGAGATGAGATGAGGGGCAGGGCATCTTAGGCAAAGGGAATAGTATAGATAAAGACACAGAGACAGTGTAAGTCTTAAAATCTTAATCCTCCTTCCCCCAGTTATACCATTATTAGGGTCAGATCTAAGGAAATAATCCTAAATATGAAAAGATTTTATGCATAAATATGGCCACTGCAGTATTTATGAAGGTGAGAACATGGAACTAACTGGTAAGTCCAACAATAGGGAAGTGGTTAAGTAGAATGACCTTATATCACCTGATATATTATTATCTGCATTATATTAGAGCATTATATTATAATTGTATAAGAAGTATGTAGTAAGGAGAATGTTTATGAAATATGTTATGTGGGAAAAAAGATAAAATGAACTATCAATATGGTTATGATAAAAGCAAGTTTTAAAACCAAAATGATAAACAAACAAATAAATAAAATACACAGAAAGTCTAGGAGGAAATATTATACAAGTGGCTTCAGAGTAATGGGTTTTGGTGATTGCTCTGATAGATTTGTTTTCTTTCTTACATTAATCACTATTACTAGAGCTAACCTTTATTGAGCACTCAATATGTATTAGGCACTGCCCTAATATTTTACATATACTATCTCACTTAATCCATACAACCCAATGAGGAAGGTCCTCTTGTTAACCTACTACAAATAGAGAATCTAAGACTTCTATATTTACACAATAATCATGTAATTACTTATACACTAGGAAAACCATATATTTACTGATTTATGTAATACTTTATAACTAAGAGATAAGAGATTCAGATCCACCCTCCTTTTTTTTTGTTACTTCAGGGATAAAATAAACATTGTTCTGCATATTTCCTTACATACTGATACTCTTATTTCTTTACATTTCTTAAAGTGATATTGGGGTCAAAGTATATGTGCACTTTCTTTAATTTTGAACTCATTTTAGAGTTTACAGAAAAGGTGCCAAAATAATACAGAGATTATCCAGTAATAAAAAAAAGAATGAGGTACTGGTCCATGGTACAACTTGGATGAACCTTGAAAACATTATGCTAAGTGAAAGAAGCCAGACACAAAAATCATACCTTATGATTCCAGTTATATGAAATGCCTAAAATAAGAAATCTGTAGAACAGAAAGCAGATAGGTGGTGGTGTGGGTAAGAAGACAGGGAATGGAGGATTGTGAGGTGGTTTCCTTTTGAGATGATGAAAATGCTTTCAAATGAGTGATGCTGGTTGCACAACTTGGCAAATATAATAAAGCCGCTGAATTGTGCACTTTAGAAAGGTGAATTTTATGGAATGTGAGCCATATCTCAATAAAGCTATTATTTTAAGAAGAAAGAAAGAAAACAGTACAGGGAGTCTCATATACCCATCACTGAGATTCTCCTAATGTTCACAACGAGGAAATGATTGGATAAATTACAGCTTGGCACTACTACTACGGAATAGTAAAAGTACAGAATAGTACGATTCCTTCCCCCACTTAAAAATTGTTTAAAAGGAATGAAGCCCCTTTATACGTGTGTATATGTGACCTCACGTTTGCAATAGTGTACATAAAATAATGCAAGTACGCAGGTGAGCTTAATACTGGTTACTCAAAGGAGAATTAAGAGAGGACAGAGGGAAATGATGCACTTTGTTTTTACAACCCTCTTGTTTAATTCAGTATAAAAGGACATGTAATTTTTTAACTTTTTCAGTTTAAAAATATTAAGAATAAAGGACAAGAGATGCTGCCCCTGGGATTTCCCATGACTAGGTAGTTATCTCTAGGTTTTAAGCAGTCCCACACGCAGGGGTCCTGTGCCATCGGCTCCAGGGGAAGATGGAACCTGAGTGGGAATCGTGGGGAATGGAGGGAGGAGTAGGAGTGCTGGTTAGGGTAAAATCTTCTGGGTTGGGCAGAAGCACATTTGAATCCCAGCCCTCTACCACCTCCTGAGCTGTAGACCTTGGGCCAGTGGCTTAACTGCCCTTTACCTTGCGGGAGCAATTAGATGTTCTCTTTCATTGAGCTCTTGTGAAAATAAAATGAGATCATTCATGCAAGGTGCTTAGCACAGTGCCTGGAACGCAGCAGCCAATAAATGATAGGTAGTATTACTATTGCTATTATTTATAGTAGATGTGTCCCAGTTGTTTAAGGAGTGGGAACTAGTGGCTATAAACATCTAGAGGAGGAGACGATGACCTCAACCTTGCCAGGCCTACCGTGCTTCCCAACACCTAAGTTGATGTGCTCCCGTGCCACCAATCTGAGAACTGACTCTGTTCTTGCTGTATTATACCCAGGTAAAGTACAAGGCTCCATTTCCCAGAGTCCTTTGCAGCAAGGGGCAAGGGAGTTCTTAGGTGACCCGTCCCTCTGGAAAGATGCCCTTTTGCTCCTTCTTTCTCTTTATGCTTCTGTGGCCTGGATCCATCCCACAGATGGTGGCTGGAGTCCTAGCAGCACTCTTGGCCCATGTAGCAACTTCAAGGAAGGAAGCCACACCCTCAGGATGGTGGGGCAGGGGCACAGGAGCCTGACACCTTGATGCCCCTGGCGTCGCCATGCCAGCCCCAGCTCACCTTCCTCTGGACTTCTTTTGTATGAAAGAGCAATAAACGTCTATGTTGCATAAGCCCCTTCTCTGGGTTTCCTGTACTGTGAAGATAAACCCAGCCCTGAGATCTCACAACACAACTAACCAAAAAAGCAATAACTCCTGGCTAAGAGCGGTGAAGGGTGTGACCTCGGGCGGGGCTGGCTCCCTTCTCCTGGGTGAGGTCGGAGGTGGGGCTTGGCCCTGACACTTACTCATCACCGATGTAGAGCTGGGGCCAGACCTCGTTGACGTGGGTGTACTGAGGACTGCCCTTCCAGAAGAGACGCTCCAGCTCAAAGGCTCCTGGGGTGCAGTACTCCTCCTCTTCCCCGTCCCCCTCCCTCTTCGGCTGCAGCCTCTTGGCAGATGGGTAGGCATTTTGGAGGCTTGTCTTTGGTTCTCGGGATGTCATTTTGGAGCCACGGGATTTTCTTTCCTTCCTGCATTTGGTCATGAGAGAGGGTCAGGATTGGGGTTAGCAGGGGACAGAGGTAGGGAATGGTCTTTACAAAAAGAAGTAGGGATAAGTTGATCTTAAGGTGCAGCAGGCATTTCCCATGCCTGCTTAGCTCCCACTTACTCTTCCCAGGCTGCAGGGATAACTAAGGAGGGCCATGATGGCAGTTAAGCAACATGTCACTGACATTCCAGTCTCCTTCAGTGCAAGAGGGCCTGGCGGTCCTCTGACATGGGCCAAGGAAGGTGTGCAGCAGACCTAAGACAGACTTCAAGCCTCAGAAATCCCTGTAGGCTGCTGGTCCTTTGCTTCCTTTCTTTTAGATTTTAGCCCTGCTTTGGTGCCTAGTTTTTCCCTTATCTGATTGGAATCTGCTGGCTCTGGCCATGGGTTCCTGCCATGCCAGGTGTGTGATTCTCCACACCTACAGGGAGTTGTTGGCCAGTGGAAAGGGCACACCTGGAAATCAAGAGCCTATTTCATCCGAGCAGCCATGCACATTCTGGGAGCTTCAGGAGCCCTGGGGTGGAAGGAGGCTTGGCTGCCTGAGGTTTCCTCGACATGTTAGGACAGTTGAAGGCAACGTTGGTGGCTCTCCCGCTTAGGGGGCTGGCAGTTGTGCTAACTTACCAGGGGTCAGAAGAGATGTTCTAAGCTGGAAAGCTGCGCTTGCAGATTGAAATGCATATTTGGAGAGTTTGTCAGGCTATGCAACTGGAATGTGGGAGAAGAGTTTCCATTGTCCCCAAGGAAAGGAATTCGCTGTGGAATTGGGCAACATTTGTTCCCTGAGCTGAGTGACTGGTGCATCTAGACTCAGAGATGCCCGAGGGGAAGATAGGCTCTGAGATTGGAGGGGAGGAGAAAAGGGCAGCAAGACTGAGAAACATGGAGTTGAGTGATGGGGAGGGAGTGTTATTTATTTAACAAATACTTATCTGGTACTTACCTTGTGCCAGACACTGTTCCAAGTGCTTTACAATTATTAACTCATTTAATCTTCTTAACAACCCTCTGAGGTAGGCACTATAATTATTATCTCTATTTTGCAGATAAGGAGAATTGTAAATTGAGGATGTCTGTAACACAGGGTCTCAGTCTTCTGAGAAAGAAAGAGTTGCTGGGGGAGGGGTGTGGTGAGGATGCAGCGCGAAGTAGGGCAGGCCAGGGATTTGGAGAATGCAAAAAAATTTGCTAGCCTCGGGCGCCTGGGTGGCTCAGTCGGTTAAACCTCTAGACTCTTGGTTTCTGCTCAGGTGGAGATCTCAGGGTTGTGAGATCGAGCCCTGCGTTGGGCACCACACGCAGCGTGGAATCTGCTTGGGACTCTCTCCCTTTGCCCCTGCCCCCACACACTTGCACACTGTTTCTCTTTCTCTCTCTCTCTCTCTCTCAAATAAATATCTTAAAAAAGTAAAGTTTGCTAGCTCCAAAGACCAGTAGGATCATTTCAAAGGACTTAGGACACAGCTCAGAGAGGTTCTCACTTGTCAAAAGGCGACAATTTGAACATGAATAATAAAAATAACTGCAATGGACTGAAACACATCAAACATTTAAATCAGAACGAAACTTGAAACATTATTCACTGTTGGAAGACATAGGGGAACTGCTCATTATTTTGAAGACAGATAAGTAAAGGGAAAGAACCTAGCATTTGTTGTTCCTTTCTGATACAAACTGTACTACTGGGTGGATGAGGGAAACTTGCTCTTATAGCAATATTCCAGATAATAAAGAAGAAAGACAACCCCATTTTACATGTGACGGACTATTGGATATAGGCATTTAGCTCTGTTTGTTCACCACACAAGAAGAGAGAATCAGACGTTGCGGACCTTCTGTGGGGGCAACACACCATCACCATGAGAGTCTTGCCAAAGGAAAACCTGAATCTTAGCAGAGCCCTCAGAGTCTAGACCTAACAACCAATTTGTAGGAAATTCCAAGGACAGCTAAATTATACCATAGGTCCCTACCTTTTAGAAACACATATCAAAATATTCACAGATGAAATGATAAAATGTCTGGGATTTGCTACAAAAATATTCTTGGGGAAAATGTAACAGTATATTGTGTATGGAGTGGGGAGTAGAGGTGGTGGTAGGTAAGAGGCAGGTCTGGAGATGGATGGTGGTGGTTGGGGTTGGATGATGGTTGCAAAGTAGCTACTGTTTCTCTTTGTGTGTCTTTGATATTTTTCATTAAAAAATGTTAAGAAAAGGAAAGGGCTAAAACTGCTCTGAAGAATGGGATTCTCCCAAGTTCACAGCAGACGAATTAAAGGATCACTAGCTAGCTGTGTGTCTTTGGGGGTCATGGGAAGCCAGGATCTGTGACTTCCTCCTGCAACATCCTGATTTGGGCGTGGTGGCAACAGAGGTGACCCTTTGCCAGATCTCTCAAAGTGTGATCTAAAGACTACTTCTGTCTGAATCATCCAGCACTTGCTAGAAATACAGATCCCTGGGTTACATCCTGGCCTGGGGCTAGGGGCCCCGGGGGTATGCATGTTAACAAGCTCCCCAATGAGTCTGATGGTCACTGAAGATTGATAGTGATTGCCCAAGAGTGTGGCTAAAGAGACAAGGAGCTGGGGAGTCAACAGAAGGGTAGAGAAGGATAAAGGTGTCCAGTATCCTTCCTATCTTCTCACTGAAGGAGGGGCCCTATCTCCAGCCCAGAAAAGGTGCAGGACTGGTGGAGGAGAGAAGAGCCAGACGATGGCCCCTTGGTGTTTATTTCTTGAGCCCGAGGGTCTGACAGGTAGTGAAAGGATGGAATGAGTGAGTGGATGGCTGGGGAGGAGGGTGAATAAGGCTTGTGCTCACAAGGACTCAGCCAGAGCGGACGAGGCAGGACTGAGTCTTTCGGCTAATGGAGGAGGGGCGGAGGTGAGCCATGGGCACCAGGCAGGACGGATAGTCTCCTGTGGTTGCTCAGGCCCAAACTCTGCTGTGGGGCCTGCCTGCTGGTGGTTCCAGTCACAAAGGGAGGAGTTGTTTCCAGGGATGGCCAGAAACTTCTGTTACAGAAACCAGCCCAAACAACCCTGTCTGCCACTAAAGGAGGCTTTCGAGAGGTGATTTGAGGGAGACGCTGGAACAAACTGCATTCTGGAAACTCTGCCTGCTTCCTTTGATCACAGAAGCTGACCTCACCCTTGCCGAGGCCGTTCCTCCACCATTACACTGGGGAAGGAGCTGTCCCCATCCCCATCTCCGTGCTGAAAGCCTCGGCTGGATTTCCAGACAGAAGAGGAAGTGGTGCGGTCTACCCAGAGCAGCTTGGCACGCAGAAGGAGCTCTGGGATCTATTATCCTCCAGGGCGCAGATTTGATGGGGGGAGAGAACAAAGCACAGAACAGTCCAGAAACCACAGACCTGTAATCTTTCCAAATCCTGAAGGCGGCCTGTGTGCATCCCTCTCTGCGTGGCTCCCAAATTTCTGAATCTCAGAGAGACCGAGAGTGTCTGTTTCCCAGACCACAGCCAAAATGGAAGGGGAAGACAAATCTGTTCTGTTTGGTTTCCATAGATTCGACCCAGAGATTAACTGCCAAGGTCTCGATGACACACACAATATCAATCACAGGCTAAATGTCATAATGAGAGCTGGGCAGGTTGTCAAGAGAGGCCTCCAGGTTTCTGTTACAGCTTCATATTTAAAGGTTTGGTCCCAGGAAACCAAATGCCAGCCTAAAGGCTACGTAGCCTGTCTCCTCCTCACAGGACAGCAAACTCAGGCTCCTTCCCGGAGGTGCCAGGCAAGTAACGTGGAGGGAAGCGGGTTGCGTATTTGAGAATAAAACAGACAAAACCCCCTAACTGTTGGCCTCAGGCAGGAGGCAACAGGGAGTGGTGGGGAGCAACTCTTCCCCTGATGGGCACAGCAGCTTGCCCTTCCCTGTGGGAATGCGAGCCCAGATTGTCTGATATTTTTATGAGAAGTCAGAAAGCCAGAGTTTTTTGAGAAATCTGCTGCTGTTCACATGTAGGCAGCTGAAGGCGAAGCTCTCCTTGCCCTGTTCCATTTCCTCAGCTCGGACGGCTGCCATGTAAGTGAGCAGTCCCCTCACACTACACAAAAGGCTTCCTCTCTCAAGCCCCTGAATCTCCCTGCTGGAGGGTATTTTCTGGTCTTTATGCTGGTTAGGCCTAAAATAGGAGGAGTTACCCTCAAAAGTTACTGTTCTTGAGGGTCAGGCGTTGATGAATAGGTACCCCTCAGATTCCTCCCTACTCAGGGGGACTTCTGTGGGAAGTCTATTCTACACAGTGTCCCGGAGAGGTAACCTGCTCACACTCGTCCTGTCTGGGCTCTCTTCCCTCCCAGACTCACCCCTCTCTGCTCGCCACTCGTAAAAGCATCTCCACATAAACAACTTGAACCCAAGCCCTGGTCTCAGGGTCAACTCTCAAGGGAACCTAAGCTAAGACACTTTACTGCTAGTTTTAAAACATTTGAAGATACTAAGATACTAAGAGAATTCAGAGGCCAAGTGATACTTGACCACGAAGGCCTAGAGTGGCATTTCCCTCTGTGGAACAGTGGCCTTGACTTTGAGATGCTGTTTCCAGGAATAATTCACATAGGGGCCCCTTGTTAAATCTGACTCCATTTCATAATTTTTGATGGTACAGCTCACGTTTGGTTAAAGGTGTCCCCTGCCCAATAAGGGAAGGCTTCGAATGAATTCAAAACCATCATTTCGACACCGTGATTGGACTTTATGTAAAAACAAAACAAAATATCTTATTAGTTTTTTGGGTTTTGTTTTTGTTGTTGTTGTTGTTGTTGTTGTTTTTTAACTAGAAGAAAAATGTCAAAATGTCAATGCTGTGAGCAAGTGGCAGGACTCTGGGAGTTTGTTGTTTTTTTTTTTTTTTCTCTTTTCTATTTTGGGATTCTTTAAATAAATAATCTTATTTTATAATAAATCACCATGTCTATATTTTTAAACTGTGCTGACCAAACAGAAC